CCTACTTATCTAAACTTTTATAACGATATTTATCGAAACAAAATTATATACGTGTCTATTTAAACTACATGTTATATCTGTTCGTTATTATATATAATGTGTAATAAATAATATTATAAATAAACATTTAGATATTATTATTAATGTCCATCTAATGATTCCATGTTTATTGAGCCTTCAAGAAGTTTCGAAAAACTATTTAGTAGGTAACATTAGATAATCGAAGCATTGTTTTAACAACGAAACACATTTTAGAGTTGACTGTATATATCGATATCAGTATATCTATTCAGATAAATAAAATTGGAGTGGGTGAAAATCATTTTAATATAACAATCAGATGTTACCTATATTAACTCGTGGAGTACCGGTTTTGTAGACACAATTATAGAACAATAGGTTGCGGTCACCGGTGACTGCTTGGTGTTTGACAGTTTAAAATGCTTTTCACCTGCTTTTTACTACATGCATATAAATATACATACGATACACTCACCAAATAACATTTTTCACAATATTTATCTGTGTGTACTGGCTAAACTCTGGAATGGCTGGACCGATTTTGACGGGATTTTATTAGCAGGTAGCTGATGTACTAAGGAGGACTGTAATTATGATAAATTGAAACAAAAAATATGTCCGAAAATTCATATTCTACCTACACGGGGTTCATGTCCCTGGGTTGCTGGGACGCGCCGGACTTCAGTGTTCCGGTGTTTTCATGGTTTTGTATCTACTGTCGATCCTGGCCTACAGGAGTTGCAGCAGTTTTGGAAAGTCCTTGTCCCATTCTAAAAAAAATTACCTACACGGACGAAGACGCTAGCAACAGTTAGTAATACTTACCTACCTAATTTGTAGGAAGTTACACGGAAGTCAAAGTAGGTAGAGTAATATGGCAATTGGCAATGACGGTCAAGTACTTCAAATAAAAACGTGAACATATGTAATTTATTAGAGTTTATACGCTAATAAACGTAGACGTGACAGACGTAGTTACTACATATTTATGATTTTGAAGAGGTTTAAAGTAGGTACCTGCCTATATTTTTAAATTGAATAGATACCATGCATTTCATCAATATGATCGGTTCTTAATGACAGCCTTATAGGCACACACGGCCACACATCAATCTATACAAAACCAGTTTATCCTGGTATCGCGTCGCATATTCTTTCCGCACATTTAACGTTCAGTTTATACTGGTTATGTAAAGCTCGATGTGTAGCCTTGTGTACGTAGATAAGTTCCTACATAGGTTATTACCTAAGTACCTACATATTTAATTTGTGACTACATTTTAAGACGGCTTAGTTAACTTACCTACGCTTTAGTTAGCTGGAAATTAAAGGATTCAATCCTAAAACCGTAGTTTATTCTGTCATGCTTATCTTACAAAATGCTCTTTATAAAAAAGAAGAAAATTATTCTCTTTTCGCTCTATGGTATTTTAAACGTCACTTCATTGCTGGAATGGAAAAGCTTTCAAAATTTGAGAGTGTTATGTAATTTAAAAAGTTTTAGATGGCATTTATAGTTGTAAAATCAGAATGAAATTGTCGCGTATTAAATTAATATGGAAAGCGAATATTTGGAATTTGATAAAAAATTTCAGCTTGATAACAGAGCGCACCCTAAATAGGACGTTGACAACCAGTCAACGACAGTTTGGCAGTGCGGTTAGCACAGCAGGTCAAGAACAATGTATTCTAGACTCGTGCAGCATCAACCCGAACTGCCAAGAGCCGCGAGTCATCATAGTAGGGGCTGGAATGGCAGGTCTTTCGGCAGCACATCGGCTCACTCAGTGTGGTATAAAAAACTTCCTCATTCTCGAAGCTAAAGAAAGGTAATTGAACGACAATGCACAGTGAATCAATTCATACAATATGTAATATACTACTTAAGTAGTAAGTAAGATATGAAACCCAATTTGGGTGGGCAGCGTTCGGGAAACTATGCAACATCTGCTCGTCCAAAATATGCTTCAAAACAAAGCCAAAAGTCTATAATCCGAGTGTGTTACCAGTGATAACATATAGAACACAGAACAGAAACGTGGTTACTCTTTCACTCTCTTTGGGTCTTTTAAAAACCTCACAGCCAAGCAGCGTTCCATGGAAAGGGATACGCTTGATGTTTGATGATGACTATGATTTAGTCAGAACTGACGAAACCCAACAAACAAGTGACATGCTGAAGTAACAGTGGGCGGGTTACATAGCTCGGAGAACCGATGGTCACGGAGATTATGGTCAATAGGGCAATAAGGTTCTCAAATGGGTTTCCATTTAAAATGATTGCCGGGAAGGCCTATGTTTAGTGGATGTCTTATTTGATATGATAATGATGACGATGATGATGAACTATCGGACTAGAAAAGGCTTTTAGAGTACCATTTACCTACCTATTAATTAGATATTTTAATTGCTTACCAGTCGTCACATAAAGTACCTACATATTCTGATTTAACTCAGTTAAAATAATAATTATAATCTTACTTACATTTGTTACAGGCCCGGTGGCCGAATACATTCGTGCTGGCTTGGAGATGCGGTTATTGAAATGGGCGCTGAATGGATATTTGGTGCATGTCTGCCAAATTCTGTTTATACATTAGCTTCACAAGACAGGCTTTTGCAACAACCACTACCTCGTCTAGATGCTTCAAGAGGCCTTTTTTGTACTAGTGAAGGACGTGCCGTAGACTTGCCAGTAACAATCACGGCGTATCACACATTCAGACAAATAGAACAACAAGCCGCTAATTTATTTAGACTTGGTGGGGAAAGACAACATGGAACGTTATTAAATTTCATAGGTTTACGTATACAACAAGAACTTCACAATTTTCCTGAGGATCAAAGATATGATGCCGCACGCGTCATGTTTGGATTGACTAACATTCTGCGAAATAGATGTGGAGATGATCTATCTCTAGTCAGTGCTGACCAGTACGGCAGTTACATTGAACTGCCTGGCGGTTGTGTAAGAGTTCCTCTGGGATACGTAGGAGTAATGGCACCATTGTTACGAGGCCTTCCAGACAATTGCATACGTTATAATAAACCTGTTAACGTTATTCGGTGGGGTCAAGGTTCATCAGGTGACGGTCGTGCTCTTGTCAAATGTTGCGATGGTGAGGAATTGTACTCTGACTATGTAATAGTCACAGTATCCCTAGGGTGTCTTAAATGCCAAGCCGACAAATTGTTTGCTCCACCGCTTCCAGTTTGTAAGCTTGATGCGATTTGCAGTCTAGGTTTTGGTCTTAGTGATAAAATTTTCCTGGAATATTCTGAACCTTTCTGGGTTTGCCAAGAAGGTAACCTAAAACTTGCTTGGTCAGCAGAAGAACTACAGTGCAGAACAGATTGGACTAGAGGAGTGTGTGCAATTGATGAACTACCAGGTAGTAAACACGTACTTTGCGCTTTGATATCTGGTCAAGAAGCTGCCTTGATGGAATCAATGGCGGACAACGACGTTGCTGAGGGATTGACCCAATTATTGCGCAGATTTACTGGAAATCCTTGCTTACCTTATCCACAAATGATGTTACGATCTAAATGGGCAACAGATCCACATTTCTGCGGATCATATTCTTATATGGGTTGTTGTTCAACGGTGAGCCACCAATGTGAGTTGGGAACACCAGTGCCAGGCCCGTGTGATCCGATGCCACCCATTTTACTGTTTGCGGGTGAAGCAACAGTGCCAGGATATTTTGCTACAGCGCACGGTGCACGGCTGAGTGGTATTCGAGAAGCTGAACGAATTATCCTATTAACGAAAAAGTTCGACGGTCCGCCAAAAAGTGCTTAGGTATCTAATCTACGTCTGTCTAAAATATAAGTATCGTATTTCTTTAGTCTTTTGAGTGCCTACTTATGATGTTATTTTTATAACTACGGCGTTTTCGCAAAAAAAAAACGTTATATTAAAAGTGAGTTACTTACCTACTGCAATTTTAATTAGAATTTTGGCGATCTACGATATCCATACCTCCCTATCAGTTATACTATAGAGCTTCCTCCGAGGGAAGTACCTAATCTACAGATATCAATATACCTATGATAAGCAGAAGAGTTTGAACGTGATAATCTGTAGACCGACTGGATTAAATAAAATCCTTTAATATTATCAAATGTGAAAACTTCGATATGGGTATGTAAGTAATTGTTCAAATCTATACTTATAATAAATCTGTAGAGAGGTCAATTCTGTACATGACATATATTTCAATAATAACTATCAGGGAGTGATTAGTGATCGATACTAATGCCAAAAATGCAATCAGTAAAATTTTTGTCTGTCTGTTTGTCTGTGTGTTCCTTATAGAAAATAAAACTACTCGACAGATTTTAACTAAACTAGGTACAATTATTCTTCATACTCCTGGGGAGGTTATAGTATACTTTTCATCACGCTAGAATCAATAGGAGCAGAGCAGTGAAGGAAAGTGTTGGGAAAACGGGAGAAGATACTCCATTTTTTAAGATTCCGTCGCGTGAGCAGGCTTAATAGTTAAAGAGAAATCATATATGATGGAAATGTTCTACATAAAATTATCTAAATAATATTCCACAACAGGACACGTCTGTCTCTTACGTTTACAATACTTATCCATAGACTTTACGCTGTAACTATAGGGCCGATGGCGGGGCTTCGGCTCAAAGTGGAGTAGGAACGCGGCGGTTTTTAACCAGTAAGAATCACTCTCAGTGACACCTCCCTTCCGCTTCACCCAGGCGGGAGACTTTTGATGATTTATACCGTATAAAAAAATAAAAATCTGTGTTTAAAAAAACTGACTTCAAAAACTAAAAACAAACAAAAAGTAAAAAAAAAATTCAAAAAATAACTGTTATTGGTCATACGTAGGTACTTATAGCTTACACACCCACGGGTAGGTGAGAAGTCGGTGCCTCGGTGATGTATCCTTCGATAATGATAGTTATAGATATGGGATTAAATAGACAAAATAATAAACCAGTGATCAATATTCATAATGTTAATTTTTATTATACAATTCTCTTATAATATACGCTTAAAAAAAGCTACAACTCTTATTTTGAAGTCTAATCATTAATATACTAACACCCTTTAGGTAAGTGTAACAAACACCTTTCTGAAAACCGCATCACAATCGGTTTAGCCGATCGCCAGATAAACGCGCACGCACATATATACCTAATATAGGTCAAGCCGAGACCCTCCTTCTTTTATTCTTTCTAAAGTCAGTAAAAACATTTTTTTTATTCACAATCACATAAAAATTGCAGATGTATATAGATAGGTACCTATATCTTGATAGGTTTTACAAAAATAAATACACCAATATAAAATAATACCACATTCATGAAATAATAATCAATTAATGCACCTTAGACCCTGTTTCTGGTATTTAATTTAATGTATTTGGCACTAAAAAAGTAATTTTTTTGTAGTTAGTGCAAATGTGAATTAAAGCATCGATTTTATTTACATGAACAAGCTACGTAAGGATACATGGTCTGATTATCAGTCATTGACAAACGTGTTTTAGTCTGTTGTACAGTCAACTAGATTCAGAATTGCTTCGGGTCAAAGTTTCCTCACGTTGTTTTCCTTTATCGTATGTACCTAGTTAGTATTCTGCAGTGAACGTCTTGTAGTTTGTATGATAATGACTATGTATAGATACGCACGCTGGATTCGGATAATACTGGCAGTTCGTATAACAGATATGCCAAAAAAAATTTTTTTTTATTAGTTACGCTTCCAAGTGCCATTTTAAGATTTATTCGTCACCACACTCGCGCGTGCCCGCGAATGATCTTGCTATTTTACCTATTTTTGATGTCGTCAACTCGCTGAGACAGGTAAAAGTACTAGGTACATTTGTACAGTTGGCAATAAGAATTTATCATAAAATTTTTAAACGTTACTCCACATAATGCGAGAAGAAATGGAAAATATATAGATATATCTAGATAGATATACAGAAACTTATAGGAGAGAATAAGTAGATTTCGTTCAGTGAAACCTAAACACAATCTAAATTATTTAAAACAATTTTGTATTCAAACTGTACGAAGACATGTATTCTCTTCTTTTTTAAACACCTCTAACTAAGTTATGAAGTCCTAATACCTACTGTTAGATTTTAAATAACTAAATTTAAAAATGAAAATAGTCATAGTTTATACCTTTTAGTAATAAATATTTTCTATTTCTTGTCTATATGGGGCACTATGTGCGGCACATTATGAAATTTTTTTGTAGTAAACTGTATAAAATTACCTAATTGTTTCACCTGTCTTAGCAAGTTGACGAATAAGTCATATATTCAAAATACAGTTAATATTTATGTTAAAAATACATTATTGTACCTTACATTTTAAACAATGTCAGCATACACCAGCGGTGTAACTATACCGGCCGGAGCCTATGGCAAATTCATTGGAGGAGCCCATTTTCTCAATATAAAAAAATAATTCTTGGACTTGCTAACCTGTAGTTACGCCAATGCCATACACAATAAATAACTACTTAGAAACGACTAAGATTTATCAGTATTTAAAGTACCTAATTAAAATATAAAGTGAGACACGGCCCATCTTTATAAACAAAATTTGAAACCACTTACAAAACTACCACTACTTCCAGCACAGACATGTCTGCGACTTCCAGATTTAATTGGGAGATCATCAAACTCGAAAGTTACGTTGTGTCCAGTATAATGTGTCTCCCTAAATTCTACAAGATATGAATTTGGATTAGGCTTGTTATAAGCCCAAACAAAACTGATTTTGTACCACTCATGTCTCTTTATGAAGAAAGGTTCTGCCAATTGTATGTCAACCAATGTATCAAATTCAACAGTTTTATTAATGTTTTGGCGTAAGTTATCTTTGTCATTTAATTCACGTGTTATAGACAAAACAAACTCCTCTACATATATTTTAACATTATTGGTGCGGTAAAGAACTGGTGGCGCCATTCTTGTTGGTATACAAAGTGATTTTATAAATACAGATGTTTTAGCTTTTACCCGACAATGAATAGCAAAATTATTTGAATCAATAATCATTGGTGGTACTGACCTTACAGGACTCCGAATACAAAAGTGCCAGTTTAGGTTTAATGAATTCCTTGGTATATTAATCATGGCAATTGAATCAAGTACATCATGAGATGTGTTACCACTTCTGAGATTCTCTTTTATAGACTCATATTCGTTAGGGAGTAATAGATTATTTACATTGGCTACAATTTCCTCAAGTTCAGATAGTTTCAGTGCTTGAAATCTTAATAATTTCAATAAACCATATTTTTTAAGGACTTCGCGTCTATTCTCAAACATATCAAGGATCTCATTTTGCTCACAGCAATACAAAGTCCACTCGAAAACATGTTTGATGAGATCTTTCTCAGATATATTCATATGATCACACTCAAGAAATGCTTTCATACAGTGATAACTTATAGACTCCTTCTTCTCCTGTAGTATGAAGCTAGCATGCTGACAGAATAGATTCAGAGAATATGATACAAGTTTTTTGTCTTGTAAATAGTCTGGATAATTCAAAATCTCAACCACATTGTCAACACTTATATTATTTTGGATGTAAGTGACACACATCTCACTCAGATGCTCTAGCAGGTATTTTCTTGAGGCATATAACAAATCAAAAGCATTCTCAACACCACTAATTTCTACTTTATCAGTATAAATATAATTGAGGATTAATTGAAAAATCTCAGGTTGAATGTCTGGTACTTCGATATCACCATCACCATCAGTAGCCAGTGGACCATAAAACATTGCTTCAAAAACAGGACTAGTGACACCTAGTATTAATTTGTGTGCTTTAAATTTTTGATTAGCAACAGAAAAGGTGCAATCACTCAATTCATATGACACTAATAATTTCTTGACACGGTCATATAAATTAATCTGCTTGACTGTGGCTGCCATCAGATACACCATCTGTAAAAAAAAAAATATTTACTATAAACTGCTTTAGTTTTTATACACAGCTAGGCTTGCTAGTTTTTTGTCCCTTCATCCTTTATGCTCATTAAACAGGTTTTGTTACAAACATTTGATCACATTATAGGATTAAACTGAGATGTTTAAAGAAAAATAATAACTTTACAAAATTTAAAATAGTTTATTAATTCAATCAGTATATAATATACCTAACATACCTATATTCAAAGGTCAAAGACCTTAATTTTTAGTAATACAGTTAGGTGGAACGTTTTAATGTAGGCATAACGTGTTCTAGGACAAAAATAAAATTATTCCTATACCTTGTTCCCGTGGTTTATTTATTTAGGATCCAATTTTAACCTTGAACTTGAGATGATCACGCGACTAGGTAGGGAGGCGTAATTTATTTTGTTAAGGTGTGATATCCTTATTAAATAAAAAAATATCACGTACATATTATTATTCAATTACCTTGAAATATGTACCAGCTCTTTTAACTTGCTGATAATAACAGCACTCGATCGATGATCCAACGAAGTACGAAATGTCCAAATTATTTGCAAACAATGATTTGATCGATTTGATTTCAACTTGTTTTGTTTGAAGCACAGGTTTGAAGTTTAACAATGTCAAGGTACTATCCATAGACTAGTACTATCTGTCATGCACACCTACGCTATTAGTGCGGTCCAACATAGGGTATCGACACTACGACATTTCGATTACGTTGCCGGTAGCGTTGTACATCTATTGTTGTTTTTAGTTATTACAAATAATTTATATTTGTAATACCTATCTAATTATAAAGTTAAGTTGAAATTACTCAGATTTTGTCCAGTATTTAAGACATTCATAAGTAACAATAAAAATGAAGTTGATGAATTTCAATGCATTTTTTTTGTTTTCTAGTCATATGATTCATTTCGAGTTCTACTAAATTTCTATACAAACTAAATTTCAAATTATCACCTGGTTTAAATTTCTGCGTCAAAATACGAAGTTTCTTTTAATGTTTGTATATATGACGTAACTTCGTTTTTTATGAATTGATTTTTATAATTCATTTTTTAAGACATGAAAGACAGTCATTCACTTAACAACGTTACTCTGTAAACACATAGTACATACTATGTGTTGATAATGTGGTACTTACATGGACAAATCGTAGCATATTAAGAAAAATTAATGAAAAATTACTTACAACTATATTAGTGTCATGCCACCCAACCTAATGATGGTCTAGTGGCAAATTTCAGATTACTTCGTTTCGTCAAATTGTATTAGGTCAAGTAACCAAGTTAGATTATACCGAATTCGGATACAAAAACAATTCCTAAAAAGTAACCGATGCATTAACGGGTCGAATTTCAAGTGGTGTTATTATAAACATCTCAAGCTTTTTCGTCTAATTGTTTACATATTCAGATAACACAAGCCCTTGTTTCTCGGATTTGTTTATGTATTCATAATTATTATATTACTTGGAATTTACTCGACAGCTTGATTTCTAAATTTTAAACATGTAGAGCAAATATTCTGTATCGATGACCATTTGATTTTGATACCAGGTAGATAAGAAATATATCCCTTAATAATATCTCATTTACAGAATAATAAAATATGGTTTTATTATGTAGTTATAATTTTTTTCGTCAATAGAAATATTGTTGATGTCAATTACTCCAGGGGTTAAAAATTTAATTAATGTTCATTGAAATTTTTTTTTACAATGTTTTACTTACAAAACCAATTGAAAAAATTAATAAAACAAAATCTTAAAATTCCGAATTCATGATTGATCACTGATGGCGTGATTGGGTACTTTCCTTAATCAAAAATAAATGATTTCGACTGTCCAATGCAATAAAATATTTAAAAATAATCTTTCATTAATTGATTTTATGACCAACATAATTTAATGATTTTTCCAGGAAATTAAGAAATAACTATGCTGTTTTACGTTAAAAAATTGTGACGTCACACAATACACAATCTGGTTCCCTCAAAATTCAAAACTGTCGTTTTTGACAGTTCGAAAAAAATATTGAATTGATTATTTGGCAAGTATCTATTACGGAGGATGCAAATATGATATTTATGAAAATTTTATAATTAAAATGCTAAAACAATATAAAAGAGGGGCTACTTTTTTATTTTATATTATGTTGATTTTCAAGAACAATTACGAACTAAAGTTACGTAAAACGAAACGCATTTCAAAAACACCATCAGCGTTCTTTCACGTCAACTTTTCTGAGGTAAACTTGCTTGATTTACGTTTCTAATAAAAATGGAAGTTGGGTTTATCAAAGCAGACTCTAGGAATTTACCAAGAGTTAGTGTCGCCATGATAGTAACTTTTTTGAAGAGATTCCAGAGTTTTCTAGTGTAGAAATGAAAGGGAAATAAATAAATAAATATCGTGCCATATCTGTCATTTTACAAAGAATTAGTGGTGACAGAACTATACTTAAGCATGACTTAAAATTGAGTAACGTTTCAGTATTCCGACATAAATTACTACAATATGCATGAATCATGATTTTATTCATGGACTAGCTTCTGTTCACGACTTCGTTCGCGCTCTTTTAAAGGGTTGGGGGCAGGTTTACAAAAAAATGTGCACAATTATTAAATAGTCCGCAAATGAAATTTGAGCTTTCTACCTTGGAAATTACGAAATTCTCCTTACGAACTTCTCTTTTTACGTTACTTTTTCATTTATCCATTCTTTCAACACTCTCCACTTTAAAAAATCACATCCATTCCTTGCTTCGTTTGGACGTAAAAGATGGACAAACAAACATACACACACGCTTTCATGTTTATAAATTAGTAGGTATACACACGGTATACATGTATGACGTTTTTTGACAAGTGAGTTTTTTTTATAGACGGTATCCGGTTTTTTTGAAGAGGTTGAGGTTGGTTCGTAATAAATCTGTAATAAGAGCGGGAATCTCCTGAGTTCTATCAAAAAACGAATAGGCTTTTACATTCATTTTTGAAATATATCTAAAATAAATTTATAGCCCTAATATACCCCTAGAAAATTAAAAAATATTTTTTCTCACATTTTATTATAATTTAAAATTTCGCGCGTTATTCGCGAAATCCATTCGCCATTATTGTTTCATAGTTATGACGTCATTACGTCAGTATTTATTCAGTAAATTACAGCATGATTAAAGCAGACATACCTACACACTTAGTAGAATGACAGCTGACACTTTTGTTTACTACCGTAATGACGTCATTTCGTAGTGTTCAAAGACAGATAAAAATACTTAAAATAAAATGCAAAAAAAAAATTAAGTACCTTATGAAGTGAAAACTATCATTCCCCGATTGCTTTGCCTCTAGACAATGATTGTGATATGCTTTTAATTTTTTTCTCATCGAGACTAAAATACCGTATTACACAGGGATGTATACTAATATTAGTAATAGTGGTCATTTACAATTCCTTTGTATTGACAGCCAACGAAGCATGACCAGTGGTCATGTGGTAGGGTAGATGTGTGGTAGTCACACATTGACATCGGAGCAGCTGTAGGTCCGTTTTCTAACGAACACGTTTTGAAACGGTTCGTTTAAAACCGCATTTTTTACGATAAATTAGATGGTTTTAAATTATTAACAGGTTTATATGCTATTTTACATGAAATTCTTTAAAAGAAAAATAAAACTAAAAATAAAAATTCCATGTTCCCTATTATAGTATAGGTCGATGCATTAAAGAAAGGAATCTTAAATGGCGGCTTGTACTTGCGTTGACAAGTAGTACAGTTAGCATATAAAATTTCAAGTCGAATATTTTTTTCAAAATAGAAATAATAAAAACATGCCGCACAATACACATGAGCCGTATTTATTTGTAACCAGTTGAAGATTTGAAAAACACTTTGGAGGATCTTTATTATGATTTTGGTTGTATAAATAAAGAACGAATATTACTTTTTAACTCATTTATTAATACTATCTATGAGACGGTCCTTCACCGGTATTATTTTTATGTCTACGGTACGTGCGAGAGTGAGTATAGACGGCACTAGTGTGCAAGCGAGAAAACAAGATAAGCACCGCCATTTTAGATTCCTTTCTTTAATGAAGCGAGTAATACATGATGGGTGTACCACTAGCACAGTGTATGGGCACTTTATTATCTACTTCATGAAGAAGACACATTTTATTACTGGCAACACTGATCATTTTCAATCAATGCTTGTTGGATAGAGTCCATTTCACGAAAGAAGTCCCGCAGACGCAGCGCTGTATTCGCGCGACATAATGTTGCCACGGTTAAATTTACATAGTATGGGGAAATCAGGAGAAATTGACATTAGTTTGATTAACTACGTACTCGAACAGTTCGAGGAATATTTTAAAAATAATGTCTTTTTATATAGGTATTTATGTTTATACTGCTAAGGTCAGATTAGTGAAAAATTAATCTTCCTGTAATTTCTAAAATATAAAATGGAAATAAAGATGTTCAACCAACATCAAATGACAATGACCAAATTTGTATGGAGCGTGGTGCCTTTTAATTTTTTCGCGGCAGTTGATCAAATGTGGATAAACTGATGCAGAATAACATTACAAACAAAAAAATATATGGGGTCTTATACCAAAAACACAGTCCGAACCGAGTTAAATCAGTTCAAAGATGTGAAAATAGTGCTATATTATTCCTGTTATTTGTTGATGGTGACCAGTACACAACGCATTTAACTTCATTTACTTGTCAGAAATATTTTTTAATAAATGATTATAAACGATTTCAAGGAATGTAATAAAGCTTATTGTAGACTATTTTTTTTTTTGTTTTTTTTTGTGTTTGGCTTTATGACCACGGAACCAGAACAGAGTGAACCGTTAACTGGCTAAACTGCTCAAGTAAAAAAAAAACATTTCGCTTGATTGGCTAGCGTATTCACTTTATATGTATACGGTTTATGGCCTATGACAGATTTTCATGATCAATTTCCTCTCAGTCGAAAACCCGCAAAATACCTTACTGAGCCCTATCATGAAATGCTATGTTCGTCAGCTGCGGCGTCGATAGCGGATTAAGTAGCGCTCATCACTTTAAAAGTCGACGGTTTCCTTTCTTCAAAAGATTATGCAAACTATAAAGTAGATGAGTCTCCCACCAGGAGTCAATGGCAAAAAAAAAATACTTTATTAGATGTTTGGACGGTTACCACTACTCAACCCACCACTGGTACCACAGCTGACGCTCATGAAGCTTCATGACACAACTCCTAGAAGCATCCCACAAGTTATCGACTGAGAGAAAATAGGTAATAAAAATTAGTGCCTGGTAATATGAATATATTGTGGTGTGATATGGTTTTCCTGTGCCTGGAATACAGTGGCGCGCAATTCGAAGTTAGAAATTGTGACAAAAATATGAATAATTTGAATAAAAAACCGAAGTAAAATGTTTGACTCCAGATCCTTTCAACGCTCATAACTCAGTCTAGACTGAGATTTCCATATATGAGCCCATAGACAATTTCGTTTGTAATGTCATTCTAGATAATATTTTCCATAAATCATCGACTGCCGCCAGAAAAAAGAAAGGCACCAATTTTAATCAATGCCCTTTATTTTATTAAAGTTTTATTGAATAATTATGATCGGTCATACTATGATCACTGTCAGAAGAGTGAATAGAAACAGAATTAGATTCTGTTTCATTATCACTAGCCGTAGATATAATAAATCGATGCATTTCTTCATCCATAAGACCATCATTTTTTAAATATTCTTCCTCCAAATGCTGTACATGTTTGCATTGAACTGCCCAATCTTCCGCTGTAACAGTCTCGAACGCCTCTTCTGTTAGGCGTACAATTTCTTTTGGATCTTGGCCCACGTTTTTAACCGCTACCCGTCTGTTTATAACACACGACTCTCCGACACACCTGCAATAAAATGAACAATTAAAAAAAATCTAACAGTGACTTTTTCCGCATTTAATTATATTATTGTTGAATACAATTTTACAAATTTTTGTTGTGTTATGTTAATTCCTCATTAAAAAAACTTAAGTCTAATTGGTAAAAAATATGTTTAATATGGCAGCCCCAAAATTTACCTGTTATGGCGGCAACTCTTTTGCGAACATTGTCTAATGGTATTAAAACGCCGCGATTCTTCTGTTCCGCTTCATAGAACTCTTTCAATTTTAATATCATTTCTCGACCTGCACTTTTTACAACTTTTGGCATCGTAAATAAACCTTATAATGCACTAATTTAATAATAAACTCACAAAATATCTACCACAACAAACCCACCTTGACAACATCGACAAACGACAACATGGCCGAACTCCCCATTTGTCAAATTTAGTTCCACAATTGTCCGCGGGACTTCTTTCGTGAAATGGACTCTAGGTTATTTTTGTCTGTCAGTCATTCAGTCATTGTCAGAAACTGGAATGTTTTGTGATTTGTGTCTCATGTATGTTCGCGCGCCGGCATAAAAATGTAAATGTGTTCAGAAAAGTAATTTAACTACAGTTTTGTATTTTGTTTTCAAGTTATTACAATGAGTGCTTCATTCGAGGATACAGTGTTTGATTTTGATTTAAATTTTCTAAATCAACCTACAACATCAAACACGGTAAGTTTTGTAGATTTAAGGTTAGACGTGTACATTTTTCTATCATTTATTCATATTTTAGTGTAATTTCTGTTTTATGGATTATTGATTCATATTAAGATTATTTTCTTGTGATAAATTAATAGAAATCTAGTAATGTAAAATGAAATGATATTTTTGATCATCACATTAGATACTTAGGGTGGCCGGGGAGTATTCGACAGTACACATAAATTACTATCTTAATCTTAGGGACAGGAACATTTACATTTTGATACTTTAAAAATTTATGTGTATTAATCTCAAATCGTAATTTTGAACTTTGGAACAAATTCTAAGTACGTTATATTCTGCAATGCCATAAACCATAACTTTTAGATGCTAGGCTAGACTATGTCAGTCAGTCATCACAAAACAACTGAACCAGTCACATCCAACAGACTGAGAAAAAAAACTGATGTTAGGTGAAAATTACGAAAGAAATCAATTAAATTATTATAACTCGAAATCTCCGCTAAATTCTAGAACATGCATAGATTTGAATACTTCTCCTCATGAAGCATCTAAATTTTATGCTTGTATGTCAACTCCCTGGCCACTCTATATTGTTTCTATTGAGAGTATTTATCTGCATAATGTATGTATATTGTATATGAATTATATGATTGCTCCTACTTTTTTAGATTTTATGCATTTTAGATCTAACAACACAAATATAGCAATTTAATTTTGTTTGTTTTTACTGCAAGAGCGAAAATGTGTCAGCAATAAAACTAATGTATACTATGGCTAGGGTAGATAGTTAATTGTTTAATTTAACTCTTTGAGTACCGTCATTATAGACACAATTAAAGAACCAATAGGTTGCGGTCATGGTGTTGCGGTGTTTGACAGTTTAACTCATTGAGTACCGTCATTATAGACACAATTTTAGAACAATAGGTTGCTGTCACCGGTGACCGCTCGGTGTTTGACAGTTTAAATCATATAATACTGAATAGGAGGTGATACTGAGAATTCCAATGTTTAATGTTGACATTTCTATCTTAAAAAACAATGTAATATGCTAGTGGTAGGCAAATATTAAAGGTGCGTTTGCTGCCCATCAAGTGTCTCTTGATCTTAACTCACTCCGATAACAAGAGATAATACAAAAGAAGTATACAATATCTGGACAATGTTTGTATTAAACATTCCATATCATAGTCATATTTTTTTTACCTGTAACTGAAATAAGAGTAAAGGATCTGTCTCAAAATAAATAGTTAGGTCTATTTATTCTAGCATGTATTTTGGGCCTCCTCAGAAAACTTATGATCAAAGTTGATACATGAGGTGGTAAGATCTAGCTTAATGATTAAAATTATAGTCTGCATTTTAAGGCAGTATTGTTGATATCTATATTTGATTGGTAAACATGGACTTGATTGAATGGATAAATATAGAACTCCTAGGTAAGCACTAAACTGACCATCAATCAATAATTATTCTATAGTAAAACCTATTTATTGAAAACAAATGCAAATTGTAGGTGAAGGTTACCTAGTAACCTGGTAACAGTAGTTACTGTTACCTAGCATGCTAAAAGGCATTCTATTAAGCATGCTCAAAAATGTTCAAAAATCAAATGCCTGCTGATTCGCAAATATGCCTGAAAAGAGCATGTGTAATAGTACCTTTTTGCCGGAAATAGAATATGGTACTCAAGCAGAGATCTCTTCTTCTTCTTGCTTTAGTACAGATCTATGCTTAAGTATAACTATAATAACAGTCTTAGTTTTGTGTACAATTCTAACATTTGCTACTGCAATTGTGTATTCGTTTTTAGTAGTAATATAATTATGTATTCTCAAATAGCAAATCCTTATTTTCTGATCATGTTCTACTTTAAAGTGTTTTTCTATACCTTAAAACTGCAATTGCAAATTCCTTCATACAATAACATTATCCAGTTTGATATTCTCACCAGTTTTCTTTGGACTGCATTTTTTTCTACTAAAATTATGTTCTTAATTCATATTAATCATTCTTCAATTAAGATTACTAAGTCTGTTCCCAACTCATCCAGATCAAAAATTTTAATAACAACTCTGATAATTTATTTAATTGCAATGCTTTTTAAATAGTGTATTAATTTTGTATTTCAGGGACAAGATACTCAGACAAGATTAGAGAAGCTTAGAAGATCTATTGTTTACTTAAAAAAGAAAGTTGTTTTTGCTGAGTAAGTGTCAGAAATTAATATATAGATATCAAATATGTATTTATGTTATTTTATGGAAAAAGTCTTGAAAAAAACATATGGATCACCTGATTGTCAACAATACACATCACCCATGGACACCCGAAACACCAGAGGCGTTACAAGTGTGTCACAGCCTTTTGGGGATAAGGAATTTGAGGATTTTTGGGCATGGCTCTCCCACACTTTATGTTTGTTAATTATTGGAACCTATCAAAATATGTATGAACCATTTGTGCTTCTATTTTTCAGTGCTGCTGTGTGTAGATATAAGACTGCAAGGCATTATGCAAGAGTATTGGAAAATAATCAGCTGTACTCCAATGAGGGGTGTAAACAACATCTTATTGAAATAAGAAGCTTCATTGATAAAGTGGGCAAATTAGAAACTGTAAGTTCGACTTTTATGTTATTAATATTGTATGTAGTTCATGTATTTATTATTATTGTAATCAATTTAAATCAACAATTTATAGATTCCTAAAAACATCTTAATCTTGGAATCATAACAATGATTCAGACAAAATTGCCTTTGCTTCAGTAAGTGGGTGGTCTGTATGCTCTGTACTGCTGCAAATACACTTAATGTGGTCATTATTTATAGTTAAATATCATTATAGAATTGTTCTTGACCATGTGTGATCAGAATATTTTACCACATATCTGCTAGCAATATATTTAATTTGAATATTGTTGGATACTCTTTTATGTATTTAGCACCATTGCTGACCAGTGGCCTGTCACAGGTTGTTGTGGTATTTGTTCTTATAGTTAATAAATACTAATACAAGTATTTTCTTTGTATACTACAGGAAAATCGGCAGTTAGAAGAAAGAGTCAAAGAAAAGAATAAAGAAATTGGTGACTTACAAAACAAGTATGAAGCTCTAGAAAAAGCTGGAAATCAAATCCAGGTAAAGTGAATTTTTATATATTTGATGATTATAACATAATAAATGTCGGGTTCAAACCTGACACAGTTGTATTAAAAATTCTCAGTGGCATGTATTTTATCAAGTCGAGAATCTCCTTAAATATCAGAAAAAATTTATTATTGACATATAAAAATTAAAATTTTATAAAACTAATTCATTAAATTTTTCAGTTGCTGCTTAAAGAGAAAAGTAAACAACCCGATCCACCCAAGGCGATTGCTAACGTTGATAAAGACAAGAAAAAAGATAATTGTAAATCTTGCAATAAAACTCAAATGAAATATGATTTACTAGATAAAGAAGTTGAGGCTCTCCGCAAAGACAATAATAAACTTTCATGGTTAGAAAGGGATAATGAGAAGCTTCGCAAGGAGAATGCCAGAATACCAAGCTTGGCACAAGAAATTTTGAAACTTCAGAAAGAAGTTTCTGACCTTGTAACACCAGAGTCCATAAATGATGGTATCAAAAAAGCTACTGCCAAAATACAATATTTGCAAAAAGAAATTGATGATCTACAGAAGGAAAATAGTAAAATAGGAAAGTTGGAAAAAGAAATTGAAGTACTTCGCTTAGAGAATGCTAAAGCTAAAAACTTTGAGAAAGAAATAGCAAAACTTCACAGAGAAACTGCAAAGATTACAAAACTGAAGCTGGAAAATGATATTCTACGCAAAGAATCTACCAAAGTTACCAACTTGGAGAAAGAAGTTTCAGTGCTTAGTGTCAAGAATGCCAAACTTACGAATGCGGAGAGACTTCATAAGAATCTATGTGATGAGCTTGTTAAAATCCCTAATAAGGGAAAAGAGTTGGAAAATCTTCTCTCGCGATTTAACTTGAAAATCACATCCACCGGTAAGACTTTTTATTAATTTTATACAGCAAAAGACATTATAACAACATTTTTTTTATCAAACTTTTGAAATCAAACCTAATACTTTCCTGCTATTTTCAATTTTAAATAATTTTATTATTATTAAAGAAAACTTGAAATACCTGCCATTATAAAAATAGAAACAATGGTTTGTTGCACGAAAATCGTTAGTATTATAGGGTAGATGACAAATGTTTATTTTAATTTCCGTCTGGTAGATTATTTTAAAACATTAGACACGTATTGTTTATTTTCTTACCGAAACAAATACTTTTTCAACGATATATTGATTTGAAATATTACGCGACGTCACTTCTACATATGTTTTATATTTACCTAGAGCTGGCTCCCACTCCTAAAATCTGATTCGTTTTATTTTTTTTTAGCATTATTTTGTTTTATTATTCAACAAGCTAAAAAAATACGTGTCGAGTATTTTTCATTATCTAACTGACGGATTATATAGATTTTTCATTTTTACTCCCCGTCTGTACCCCTATTAAATTAACGAACGAGTTTCACGTACTTTAATTAATTAAACAACAAGGTTGAGAAAAAAAGAATTCTTATATATGTTTATAAAACTTACAGATATGTCACTGCCAGAAGAAAAACGTGATTCTGTTCACAATGATCCCAGTGAAGTGGATGAAATAGAATCCGAGGATACAGTTGTACCGTCTGCACCAGTCTGTACTGTTGCCGTAAGTTATACAGTTTATATTAATTTGCTACTACCTGTAATAATTTATAAAATTTTCACTTATAAAAATATTGGACTTTGGGTACTTGCCAATTAGTCAAATTCAATACTTTTTTCGAACTGTCAATAACGGCGGTTTTCTATGAATTTTGTACGAGATTATGTATTGTGACGTCACGATTTTTTAGCGTCAAACAGCATACTTTTTCTTAAGAATTTGCTTGAATAATGCTAAAATTAAGTTGGTCATAAAATCAATTAATGATGGTGATTATTTTTTAATATTTTATTGTATAGAACAGTCGAAATAATTTATTTTTGATTATGGAAAGTACCCAGTGTGCCACATTACATATAAACTTTTCTATCTCCGTAATTTTTTGTATAAGAAATTTTTAGATTCATATTACTATTATGATTTCATTTACAGGACAAACAACCTCACCTTATTAAAACTTCACCTGAACCACGCAAGTCCTTTGATGATGATACTACTGAAGTAGTGAATGTAGACACTGGTTGCAGATCTTCCCTTAACAGCTTCAATATTGAAACACCATCAAAATCTCTAGTTCAGATTACAGATAGCATTGTCAATAGTACGGTGCCCGTTATTGTGTACAATGACAATCAAAGTATCTACCGAAACAGGAACACAAAACTTCATACTCAGAATGTGTCTATTGTTTCAAAATGTGTTCCAAAAGACATAACCAGTCCAAATCATTCGGAAGACCATACTACATCAAAATCTGAAGTTAAAGAAAGTATTTTAAGTGCTACAGTTCCCACTATTGTATACAACCAGAATCTAGATGTTTCCTGCAAGGAAGATAACTTTGAAAGTCAAGGATATTGTGATGAGATTGACAGAATAGACAATGATAATCAGTTCGTAGACAATACTCAAGTTCCCACTATAGTGTATAACGAAAATAATATTTGCTATGATGAAAGTGTAATTGAAAGCCAAGAATATACTCAGAAAGTATCCGCTGTTAAAAAATGTGTACCAAACAATAACACACCTATTGCTAATACATCAGACAGTAAGATTGCAATGTCAAAAGTTCACTTTAAAGAAAGTGTAATAACTGCGGCAGTTCCTACTATTGTATACAATCAGAATGTAGACTATTCATCCAATGACAATGCCATCGAAGTTCAAGGACATCATGATCAGGTTGCATGTAGAAGTACACAGATTACACGGGAGAGAGAAAGTCTTGAACTGAACAATAGCAAAGTACGTGACAGCCACATTGAACTGGAGTTAGAAAAAATATTCAGTAACATGAAAATGTCCTTTAATGCTGTGACTCCTATCCCGAAAACACCAACAAGAATAACTGAAGAAAAGATTATTACTGACCCCACAGAAAAGTTACTTAAATGCATGATGTTGAGTGATAAGAGTGAGAAACTTCTGCTAAAACTAAAAGAATATATGCATTCCTATACTAAAGACTTGCTTTGTCAATCGAATCCTCGATTTGCAGTCCAATCTCAAATGATTGGATCGGAAAGAAGGAATGTGAAGTGTAACATAGATAAATTAATTCAATGTTTTGAAACAATCTTACGATCCCGGCAGATCTTAAGTGAAGATTCCATGGATACACAACCAAACTTACAAATATCGGAGCTACCACTATATAATGAAGAAAATAATTTAGAGTCAATAACGAATGAAGAATTGCCAGAAACAGATGCATATAGGATTCCTGCAGGTACGGAGAATATGCATGCTGTTACAGATTTAATTGATGATACAGACTTATGTGATAATACGTCTTTATTTGATGAATCAGACATTATGCAAGAAGATACAAATATTTTACCAAACCATCAAGAAGATGTATCTGTACCGTCGATCGAAAACGTTATAGAATCACCTGCAACACCGTTACCAGAAAAGGATATAATAATTTTGTCAAAACCTGTTACTGTTGATAGAAAACAAGAAAAATCGCGTAAACCTACAACTGATAGATCTTCTGTCAAAAATAAAATGTATAAAGCTACTGATAGTGTAAGACGTTCAAATATTTCTACACAAAAGAAGAAACCAAGCACAAGAGGCGTCAAAAAAGTACCATGTAAGAAAAATACACAATTAGATAAACTGAAGAAACGTCTTGAACCAAAGTATAAAATTAGGAGAGAGTCTCCACTGTTACGAAAATCGAATCTAAAGCCAAAATCCATACCTCCCACCAAAAAGACGGTATCACCAAATGATACCTCTGCATCGCTCAATAATAAAGATGTGTATGAGAAAGCAGTGAAAGTAATGGCTGAAATAAATTCGAAAAAGTCTAAAATGTTAAAATCGCCGCCCGTACGAAGAAAATCTATATTATCTCCAACACATAAAATGTCTATGGAATATGAGTTTGACATGATACCTAATTCACCACCCAGAATGACTCGCGCTATGTCTTTAAAGCTTAGTGGTTTGGAAATTGATACTGATATCAGTTATGATAAAGTACCAATGGCGTCGCCTAAAAATACACACACTTTACTATCTCCAAAGCACAGGAATTCTCTAGACAAAGAGACTGAGCAAAATGTCAACGAAATTACACCTGCAACATGTAAGGATACTGTGCCTATTGTAATTGATAGTGGCGACAATGTATCAAATTCAACACCTAAAAAAACAAGATGTCCTTTACCCTCGGAACTCAATGATTCTACGCAAATTGAAATTGTTGACAGGGAGGATATAATACCAACTTCACCAGTTGAAGACCCGAAAACTCCGTTTGCTTACAATATCGAAACTAGTAGTGGTGGCAAAGTACTAAATTCGCCACCTCAGGCGCCTAAAGCATCCACAATGCTTGAGAGCACTATGGAAATTGAAGTTGATAGTTGTTGCGGGGGTATTATATCAAATTTACTACCCAATGAACCGACAATTCCTGGGAGCACTATGCATGTCAACACGAACAATGACGATAAAATGCCAAATCCATCAGCCAATGAAAAACGCGACATAACTTTACAAAACGGAATTGATAGTAACGTGGATATTGAAGATACATCAGTTGAAGAACCGACTACTACAAGACGTAAGAGCGCTTCGCAGACTGACAATAATGGTGAGACAGGACCAAATCCACCACCCACAACTTTACTGACCGTGAGGCGTAAGAGTGCTTTACAAACTGAACTGAACGCTAGTGATAAAGAACATAATTCAGTATCTAGTAAAGCTAATACTCCAGTGCCCGCAAGACGAAAGAGTGTTGTACAGTTTGAAATAACTAGCAATGGTGGTGATAAAGTATCAAACTCACTAAATAAAGAACCTAAAACTTCATTGTCCATGCGACGCAAGAGTTGTTTACAAATTGAAATTAATAAAGGTAGTGATAAGGTACAAAGTTCACCACCCAAGGAACCCACAACTCCATTGTCCCCAAGGTTGAGGAGTTCTGTGTGTCCTGATATCCATAATGAGGCAAATAAAGTATTATATTCTCCATCGAAACTAACTAAAACACCATTGTCTCCAAGGTTGAGGAGTTTTACGCAAAACGAATGGAACAATAGTAACTCACCACCTAAACAAATAAAAGTTCTATTGTCTCCAAGAAGTAGAAATAGTATGTCAGATGAAATAGATCGATTGCCACAAAAGATCTTGATCACACCAAGAACTAAGAGAAAGATATCAGAATTATTTGATAACTGTGCAGTAGTTTTAACAAAAGATGAGACAATACTGGATTCTGTAGCAAATAAAAGTGTAGTTGTCGAAAAGACGCAAGAAGAAACCGAGCCGCATAATGTAAGGGCAGCAAGAAGAAAACGCAGGTCTTCTTCTGATGAGCCTCTCGTGCCTCCAAAGAGAATATTGCGTAGCTCTAATCAAAAGGGAGAAAACGATAACAAGTCAGGAGAAAACACAAATGCCATAAAAAGTCCTTCCAAACTATTACAAAGTCCAAAACCTACTAAAGTAGTTACGTATGACGACTTGGATATGTGGTCTGATGATGACCATCACGAATTAACTACTCTTCAACATCAACAGGAATTAGTTCATGACAAGGAATCAGTTCCTATAAATGAGGTAGACACGGAGATTTGTCATCCAAAAGAGAGTATTTTGTGTTGTATGATCGAAAAGTATGGAGTCGAATCTGTGAAACCATTTGCAAAGAAACCTTCAGGTATGTTGGTATTTTTTTTTTAATTATTATAATGACTACTTTAGTCAATCACGTTTTTGGTGTGTGTATAATGTGTTTTCCTTTATTTCTATTATTATTCCTTTTCGAGTGTTTATAATTTTATTTTTCATCGTGAATTTTGTTATACTTATTTGGTTTTTTTTATTATCTTTTTACAGATTACACTGTTAAGCAACTATGCGAAAAGATTGAAAAAGAAATTTCAGCCATATCAGAATTACCAATGAATGAAACGAAAAATGCTATGAATAAGTTTGTTGCTGATTTACGAAAAGTAAACCACAAACTCTTTATAAGCGGCATGATGAAATATTTAACAAAACCAGAACGGAAACAGGAATTATTTGGAAAAGTATCTTTAACTGCTGCTCCGGCTATGACCAAGGCTGAACAAATCCTACTCTATATCGTAGCACAACTAAAGACTCACTGGCCCATAGATATTGTCGACGCAATATTGTCCAACATTGAGTACACATTATTTAGATTGAACAGAACACCAGAATTTGATGTGATTGAAAGTATGTCGCACTTCTATGCTCTCCTGTGTAGATACATTGGAGCTAAAAGCCGATTAAGACTGTTTATCCTAGATGCCATGTATTGTATTCAATATAAATCGGTACCTTTGATAAAGCAGTGTATTGAAATATGGATGCATATAATACCATTAGCACATATGGGTATTGGTAAGTAATATTTTTTACCTAGCATAAATTATGGAAGTATTTTATGTCAAAAAAATATATGAATGTATAGTTAATCTAAACTACTTGAGTACTATAGTTAATCTAAACTAGTACTTAAGTTACATCTCTTCAGTCAGTTGGAATTCATTAAAATTTATATATTTTTTGTTACAGCTAAGAACCCTCTGGTGACATGTTTGGTATATCTTCTACATTTCTACAAGTGTGATGACAAATTGAACCGAGTGCAAGACATCAGAAACATACTAAGTCGAAAATATTTCTATCAAATCACAGACTGGAACGAGACAAAAATACTAGAAATGTTTAAAAACTGTATTAAAGATTTGAAAGGTAAGGATTCTGTTATCATCATAAGCTTTTGTAAGTCTACTGTTAGACTTAAATATTTTAATTTTGTTAAAATTTTGTGGGATTTAAAATTATTTGCAACTCTTACTTTGCTATTTCAATCTCTATTAATTCTCATGCTCTCGTGTTTCAGATACATCGATTGACAAGAAAACGTTAAGATTGGCTCTAATTATTCTTGCTAAGCGACACGGACCTCGGTGGTGTCAAAATAATATCATTAAGAATTTACTTCAACCAATGATAGAAAAGGAAGGTGTATCCGACAATGTGAAGGAGTTTTGTGTGTCGATGATTGGGCCGCTGATGAAACCATATCCAGTTGATATGAAAATATATTGTGAGATAGCTATGAATCAACTTACTGATATCCTTAACAATAATCGTGAGTATAAGATAATATATTATATAATTAAATTAGTTTTGTAATCTTAGAAACTCAAATTTATAACAATTTTGTTTATTATTTTTCAGCATCGCCCAAAATGGAAGAAGCTGCAATCACCAGTATGTTGTTCATAAACAGACATAACCAGGATAGTATTAACAAAATACTTTTATCGCGTAAAATGAAACCATTGTCCTCGGAGCTTGAAAGAACACTATGCGATTACGTAAAAACAAAGCCATTGAAAGTGTGGAAGAAACATCTTTCCATAATAGCTCGAGTAACTTAAAATATTTTAAGATTTTAGTGTTGTATTATTTTTACTTAGTTGACCATCTGCTAAGCAGATATACATGCAAATTACAGTTTATTGTGTAATTTTAATTAGGTATGCATAAGTTTAACAGCTGTCTATTTTGTGAATGGATGTAATATTTGGATCTAAGTAGAATATAACAATGAGTATGTGTTTTACGATTTTAGTCAAGAGATTGTCTTTCTGATTAAGACAAAAGAATAGTCATAATTTAAGGAATTTGGGTATAACCGTAAATAGCGATTACTTATTAGACCCAGAGCCCGCGAGGCCCAGATATTCGTAATTTTATAAAACCTGATATTTTTCTACCCATATCCTCAACATAGATAAGTACGATCAGGGACTATGAAATAAGGGTGTTGGTTACTTCGACAGGTAACAGGTAATTAAGATATGTATAATAGTACTTCGAATTCGTTAAAGTATAACGCTCAGTTTTTAGATATTTAAAGGAATAACATTAAAAGTGTCGTCGTCCCATGCCAGTTATTTAGTACGGTTGCTACCCTCATATTGTTGTACAATATTAGATTACACGCTGTCATAGAATGCGTAAGAGAAATAAAGTTTCACAGCTCCTCCCCTGTAGCCCATATGTTGACCCGACCTGTTAGTAATATTTATACAAATTTTGAATTAAATCCGTGTAGTACTTTTTTAGTTTATCCCGGACACACTGTTTGTCTGTGATGACAAAAATTCTTAAAAATACATTTTTGGCTTCGATATTAATTGTCACGCCCCGGGTATTCTTTTAAAAAATATTCAATGTACAGTTTTGACTTGGGTATCTACGATTTTATATATGTATAGACCACCCCCCTTTTCATTTGATGTATGTATTTGTTGCCTCCCTTGTATTAACTCGTCTAGTACCGGTTTTGTAGACACAATTATAGAACAATAGGTTGCGGTCACCGGTGACCGCTTGGTGTTTGACAGTTTAATACTCTTTACTAATTATATAATCTCTTTTCTTTAGTATTTTCTTCCTCCAAAACGAATCTGTCGAGGTTAGGAAGAAGGGTAGCACCACTCGATTTTCACAGTCCCTGACTGTTCTTACTAATGTTAAGGATAGGTGTAGAAAAAAATTCAGGTTTTAGCGAATTACTTATGTCTAGGCCTCATGGGCACTGGGTCTATATAGTATACTATAAGTCTCTAATTTATGTCATTTGATATTAATATAAGTTTACTGTTATGTAAAGGTACTATTAGCTGATATATAATCGATCTCATTAAAATATGCTTCTCCAATCTGTTTGCATACTAAAATTAAAATATTCTAGAATTTTAGATTTGGCGTCTAAATGTGTCCTCTTTCAAGATACTAAATAAAAATGAAACTGGCAGGCAAAAACTAAAGTTACAGCTGGGTTCTTGGAGAGGCAACAAAGGGTTTTATTTCAAATGTTTAGACATTTGTTGGATGCGGGTTCATACGTAGAAGTTGGGAAAATCGCTAATAACAATCTGTAGCTGCTTCTATGATCATATTAGTACATGAAAATGTTGCACAACACAATAAATAGGTTTTTGTCAGTGTAAATATCTCACAACTTATGGTACAAACATTATCTATAATAACATGTGATTTATTATAATTATTACTAGTTTTCATTGTACCAATCTAATTGTAAGACCACTAAGTATAACAACTTGTGATTTAAACTGAATAAAACCCATATTTTAAGCTATATACCTAGTATTTTATTTATATTGTGTTCTATGGGTAACAATGTCGAGAAGTAGGTGAAAACAGGTGAAAGGAGCAGTTAAAAGAAATTAGCATAATTATGTAGATAATGATAGTGTGTATTACTTTAAGCAAAACATTAATATTTAAATTAATTATATTTAATAAAATAAGTACAGAACATATTTAAATTGTATTAATAATTTGTTTTATATTTTTTTATTTCTACCATAATTACGTGAATATTGACTAATTGTGTTCGGGCATTAGGAGTTAGCAACTTAGCAAACTTATGGTAATATTGTACAAAGTTCGTAAGAGCCATTTGCAGCAGACCAGATCCAGTTACGAGATTTGGGAAGGAAACAAGCACTTCCCTATGAATCTCTTCAAGGCTTTGTTTCCAGCCAGAGCTGAATGACGCTACCAAAGACAGAGACTTTCGCTCCAAGTTTGCCAATTCTGTTTTTTTATCAGAATCAAGTAATTGTTCACCTTCCTTGACAAACTGTATCATTCCTCCAAAATGTGGGCTTAAAATCTCCTCGACATATTCCGAGCTTCTAGCTTGCAGCTGTTCCCTGAAGCTCTCAGCCTCTTTTGTGTTATCCCTTGTTCTTTCCATTAATATACTCAAGATCATGTCATAGTTATTAATGAGGAAAATTAGTTGCTGTATCCTTTGAGGAAATTCAGCTGCCATTTTAAGTAAAAAGCAATTGACTTCATCTTGTAGAACAAGCAGAATATTGCTGAGTTCTTCTGAAGGAAACTGTTCACTAAGGCTCAGCATCGCAGCAGAAAATTCGGCATATCTCCGGGTTATCTGAGAAAATAAAAATGTATGATTGTAGGTAGTGAAATGAAATATTTTTTATGGAATTTTATAATCAAGTTATTACATTGTTATACTTACATAGTGAGGTCCCAACTCTTTATTGGATAATTTTGCAGGGTCACATTCTCGCACACTCTGAATGTTTAATTTCAGCACATGTTCTAGCCGTGGCCATAATGTGCCTTGGAGTGAGTCCCAATAACTGAAATTGATAAATCTATTTAATAAATATCGAACTTATGCAGGTAAGGCAAAATGAAGTTATAACATGCATATATTTTGCATGTTTTCAGTATTATATTTACCTGTCTAAAGCACCTACTGCTCTTTTGTGGCACATCCACCTGTATCTGTTTATAAGTTGTATGCAAAGGTACAAGGCCAGGCAGTCGTAACACTCAAGAACATAATTCTCTACATTTTTCTGTAAAATATAAATATATTATCATTATAGATTTCGAGTTTTGTTATAAATTAATTTGACACAGTGTAAATACTACATACCACAAGCAAGGACAAAGTTTTTCCAAGGATTCTATCGAACAATTCCTGTGCATGACTTCCTTTCACATGGAAGAATTCTGTTGTGAATAAATATTCCCTGCAGCCATTGTCCACTAGTGCATATTGGAGACTTCTGAAGAGGGCTTCATAGGAGTACTGCAAAAATATAGTATAATGTTAAACACAACATGATATTTACAAAAATTAAACTGTCAAACACCAAGCGGTCACCGGTAACTACAACCTATTGTTCTATAATTGTGTCTACAAAACCGGTACTCGACGAGTTAATTTCAATATCTCAATATTTTCTCTAAAAGAATAATTTGTTTACCTTCGTTTTTTGCTGCACATGGGGTACAATAATGGGGGCTTCCAGTTGTTGTGCTAATACATCACCTCTGTTGCCAATTGTGAATATTGTGCTTTTATTCTTCAAGTTAGATTTTTGAAAGAAGCCTCCTTTAGATCCGTCCTCAATCCCCATTAGATCATCTTTGCTGGGAGCTTCCTCATACTTTAACTTGTCTAATCTTGAGGCATATGACTTGAAATAAGAGTAGTATACTTTGCTTAGAGTATCGATATATTCATTGCAAATCTCTTGGGCGACATTTCTCTCATTGGCTAATATAAACTCAAAGAAAAACTTGTACTTCAGCATAGCATTCTGAGGTATCTGATAGTTAGCCATTGGTTTGCGGAATTTATAAATATTCTCCAAAATATATGCTCTTATTTTCGATACAGCTTTTATCTTCAATTTTTCCAGGACATCTTTAACATCATGGCACGCTTTAGTTTCTTTGAAGTCTTGTTCCTTCACAAAATTTAGTTTTTGGTTCAATATTGCCAACTGTACCATAAACTCTTTATCTGTCACAGGAACATTGTTGATACCACTGAAACAAAAAAGATCTCATTTTTTCAAATGTAAAAAAAAATATAAACATATATTTATTATTAAGAAAATAAAATTACGTACAATATAAGTGTTTCAGAGACTGCCATGTCTTCAATAAAAGTAGATAGAGGCCCCTTCAACACCTGCCGATTAGAGAGTTGCACTGACATGCTTACTGAACGCTTCTGTAAACTTATTATTTCATTGCTGATACTGCCCAGGTCATTCTGAAAGCAGCAAATAATCGATCTAATCAACTGATAACAACATACATATGGACATTGTGTAAGGTGCAATTTTTATTGATACTTACTTGGAAAACCATCAGCATACTTTCCATTTTAGCAAGGATTCCATCACAATCTTCAATCTGGTTGTGTAAAGAGGCAATATTTTCACTTTCTTTCAAGTAATCTGCCACAGACGTCTTTTCGGCATCTTTTATACCTTTGTCCAGTTGCAAGGCATACTCTCTTAAGTCTGTGCCATTTCGAAGCACTTCTTGTATTTCAAAGTCTTCCAGGTTTTTATCCAGTCCGTCCTTAATATCCGTAGATTCTGACATGTTGTAATATAATAAACAAGACCACCAATATTAATTAAAATGTAACAATAAACTATAATCAATAAGATATTTAGATTTCGTCAGATATTACTTTATATTTCCATTTTATATATAACTGTACTTCAATGGTTGATTAAAGATAAAGAAGAAATTGTGTTTACTGAAAGTAAATACAATATTTTTCCTGTTGTAAATTAATCTAACACAAATTCACAATATTCACAATTTGTTCCGAGTTTTGACATTGACAGAAGAATAACACATAATGACAGAATGACATACGTCAGTCAACTACGCAATGACGGGACAGATCGTAGGTGTGACCAAGTAATTAACATATAATTCTACTAAAATCTGCTAATAAATTGGTCAGATATTAAAAAATAATCTGGGTCGGCTCGACTGGGGAATTTAAGAGTGCCCTTTAATTTTACAGAATACCAGCGAAAATATGTTTTACGTCTAGTTGGTGAGAATTCCAGATACCTACCCATTATTGCTAATCATTTTGGGAAAGACTTGGAGATGTTCCTATGTTATAAGTTGCACACAGGCTACAATGATTCGTAATCTTTGTTGTTGCAAGTGTACCTACTTAGCTACTTAGGTTAAGGTAACTACTTACGTATTTATCATTAGGCGTGCCGTGAACCTTGTTGCTAGTATTTCTTTTATGCTTTATACGGTAAACGGGCAGGCGGATCACCTGATGGTAAGCAATCGTCCGAATAGTCGCCGCCCATGGACATCTGAAACACCGAGGCGTTTCAAGTGCGTTACCGGCCTTTTGGGAATTAGGAATTTGAGAATAGTGCAGTATAAAAAATGAACAGCTGATTTAAAAAAAAATCCACAGCTTATTTTCATTTGTAAGTAAATATAGTGTGTATTTCCCGCTTACACTGCGGACAGAAAATTACTAGGTAGATATAATACTTAGGCACCAAAGCAACTTGACCTCCCCACGTTTAGAAAATAAAATATTTTGATTGTCTTGGAAATCGAATCCAGCGTTGATAGTCAGGACCAGATTTTATTGTAGTTGTAGGTAGGTTCTTGTCCATAAAATAATAATTAGGAAATAGGCTCCCTTCTATGTGACTCTCAATGGAATGAAGAATTAAACTGTACCTATTCGTAAGTATGTAGGTATTATTAGTAAAATTAAGATAGGTAGTCTGTGAGAACACCTTCAGCTTGCCTGTTTGAAGGTTAAAGTATAATATTGTGTATAAGACGTGTATAGATATAAAGGGTTTTAAAACAGAAAATAAATAAAAGAGACATATTTCCATTGACGCATTCGCATCCATATTATTTTGACGAAATATTTACAAAGAAAATGTATAACATATCATAACAAAAGCACATTTATGTATCTATGTTGAGATTTAAGAAATGCAGTTCATTACAAACCTTATAGAAGAAAGTATATTAGGTAATTACTTAACAGGTATAAGTTACAGGTACACACTTATGGAGGGTAATGTGATATTTCGTAGGATTCCTACCCGCATTTTATCAATTTATTTAAACAATTGGACAGCGTCGGTTCAAAGTTCCCAAGCGGAGGGAGATAAGGGCAGGAAGATTCAAAGCTCTAGTAGGTATCTAATCGATAGTGTGTGTGTGATTTTCACCACTTAAAATAAATGAATTGAGTGCATTTTCATTGAATATAACTCAAAGTGTTTGTTGTCGTATGTGTGCGAGGAAATAAGAGTCGTTATGGTAAGTAACTTGGAAACATTGATTATCATTTCACATTGGGTTGGCTAGCTTTTACTAATCAGGGATTATTTATTTTTATTTATACATTTAGGTAGGTATATGGTTTCGAAGCTCACTGGCGACAGCTTTTACACTGTGTCGTGTGAATTTTTACATTTCGACACACAAAATGTTGGCGTGGCAGGTTTGTAATGTAGGAATGTTGTTAACAGTTTTGTTCTTCCGTACAACATAAATTATTTCGGCTTGGATAAGGGTAACAATAGTTCAAGCACAACCGAAGTATTAAATAGGTACAATATGTAGGATCAATCATTCAGAAATTCGTCAAAATTTAAAAATTAACGACAAATAATTTCCTTGACTACAATTATAAATCTATAAAATTAATAATATTAGAAGGGAGTTCTGGCGTTCGAGTAAAAAGTCCAGCATTAATAAATATTAATTAAGGTTATTATCAATTTTGTATAAAATTATTAATTTCAATGTGTCTTGGATTTCATTAACTCTACATAAGTAATAGACAACGTTTATCACTAACTCCATTCAAAAGGACACCAACATCAATAACAACAGTCACTCTCGTATTATACAAGGAATAAATGTGACTTACCTAAGGAACATTTACTCCCCACCTACTCAATACTTAATTCAGATATGAATCTTAAATTCCTTTACTTATCTATGTACCTACTTAAGTTAAATATAGTTTAAAGGTTGGACAGAGCACCTAGTGGTACAATAGGTACGTGCATACTTTCCGTAAAAATGTTATACCTACAGTGCTGCTGCAGGTATCTAGTCTTTTAGGAGATACAAGGCAACTCTTAGTTACACTGTTATTGTTTCCACGCCGGCAGATACATAAAAAGAGTACCCACCAGTGATTATGATTTAAAGGTTCTTAGCACAGCTTCTTTCAGATACACTGCACCAGGACTTTAGTTATCCTATTTGGTCCAGTGAAAAATTACACAGTCCATTCAAATGCAGTAGACAAAAATACACACATCTAGCCTGATCATATCAGGAGTATTCCCAATAGCTTTACACTTACGAGCAAAAATACACAGTGATTTTAATTTTAGCAATTTATTTTAATGTACATTTGACTATAATGGCCTAGCTTAAATGAGATGCAAAGGATTCCAATCAGGTAATACAAGTGCAATCACAATTTTAATAAAAAAATAATATCGTGATATGTTTAAATATTTACCAAATACATATATAATATGTATTTGTAGTAAGCATATAAAAGGTTCACATAAGAAAATTCTACGCTATCTACCTATAAAGGTACTCTTTAAGACACGTTGTATTTTAAGGATTTAAGTACATTGGGGACGTCAAATATATGCTGAACTTTTTCTCAGGCCTTAGGTATAATTATTTTAACACATTACATTAGTGTCCTAGCGTCTAAAATACTAAAAAATAATTTAAAACTAAAAGGTAACTTCCAACAATCATGTCGTTGTGACGCTCATCGACTTCGGTACACCGTCATTCAAGGCGGGCGCGTCCTGCAGGGGTTGACTCGCCCGTCTCACATTCTTACAAAAAGGACATTAAATGCCTTATCTTTCTTAAAGTAACTTTACTTACATTAATTATAATAAAAAGCCCGATATTGACGAGCAAATTTTTATAACATTTCTAAGTCTTGTGACTAGATTTTCCCTATCTAAGTAATACGTAAGTAAATAACATAGGAATATTTGTACGACAAGATGCCATCGATCACGAGCGGTAACTCAAATGCAGACTACTAAATACACAACATTGTAAGATTAAACGAAATCACACCCAAAAGACAAATTCCTAAACTTTTTCAATAAATTAACCTTAACTTAGAACTTACACGGTAAGATTGTCTCCATTAAGTAAATACTTAATATTAAATTCATACGAGTAGCACGAACCGATTCCGTTGGAGATCGCGTCCTAACTAACGTTTATCTAATCTCTAGAAAAATATTTTATCATCTAAACACTTAAAAAAATAACGGATTCGGCTCTAGAACAGAAGGAGAACAAGTTTCGAAGGCGGGAGTGGTCCTCACGGGTGGGGCGCGGGGCATTCAGAATGGCAGGCTGGAGCGAAACATGTTTTCGATGAGCGGCGGTGCCGGCACGAGGTCCTCCAGCTTCAGATAGAAGATGCGCTGCAGGCCCTGCACAGATAGCGAGCGCAGCTCGGGCAGAGCGCCCAGCACGCGACTGAAGTGTGGAGCGCCGCCACCGGCCGCACCGCCGCCGCCCGGCATATGGGCGCGGAGACACCCTATTATCTTCATTTGTAACTGCTCCACACGATGAGGCTCCTTAAGACCATGTCGATCTGCAAATAAAATGAAAAATATTATTAATAAATATAATAACCTTCTCAAAGTTTTTTTTAATAATTTACTATTATTCTTATACATGAATTTTGAAATTAAAATATTTAATTATCGTTACACACCTGTTATCAAAGTTAATGCGCAAAGACACGCAAATGTAGATATGTCAATGTCCATCGAATGTAGCGTGTTGCTGAAGTCCAGAACAGCATGCAGCCAGTCTCCGAATGACCGTTGGCATTGTCGCTTATCCAGTACGACTCCATTGCAGAATGTCAACTTGGTGTCTTCCGGACGCGTGCGGTATGCCAGTCGCAGTACAAATAGCTCGAGACGAGCTGACGCAAACAGCTGTTCGCGGTCTTCAGGGCACAGGTCACCATAACCGGGTACCTTGTCCGCAAATACTTTAATCATATCAATTGAAGTTGTCAATAGAGTGTAAAACTGTTGAATTACTTCTAAGTCTGACATCGGTGGCTCCATTGGGTTTGGTTCCCGATATTGTGAGTAATCAAGATTGGCAAAGTCTGGAGAAGTGTCGACATGAGCTCTCACTAGTGCTGTGATAAGCGATATAGGCGGGCTAGGCGGTGATTCCTGCGGGCATTTCGGTTTAGATGGCAATCTGCCACGTCTACCTTTCAAAGAGTCAGTTCTTACGACTTCCTTGACCATTCCAACATTGAGACATTTCTGGAATCGACAAAACTGACACCTATTCCGTCTTCTTTTGTCTACTGGGCAGGACTTCTCAGCTAAACATACGTATTTCGAACCCTTTTGTACGGTTCTCTTGAAAAATCCCTTACACCCTTCACAAGTCCTGACTCCATAGTGTTGGCAAGCTGCAGTGTCCCCACATACAGCGCATAACTGACTCGGTGATGATGGCGCCACTCTGGGACCAGTACCCTCTGGCGCGACGCCAGGCGAACTGGATGCAGAGCTGGGTGCAGACGCTTGCATACAGTGTATTCTGCCACCAGGTACTTTAGGGCTGTCGTTAGAACTTGTAGATTCTGACCGCTGTACCGGTAATGATGCTCGTCGTTGCCTTGCGCTTTGATCTGTAGCTATGTGTAGATCTACCGAACTTGGGAATGGGGGTAAAGAATACGAGTCTTGATTGGGTGTCACTCCGCCTGTATCGAATGTAGGGCTGCACGGTTGTGCCGGTGCGTAGTATGTAGACG